AGTACTTACAAGTAGCGAAGTTTTTCTTGTAGGCTTTTTTAAGATGATCATGTCCATAGCTTTCAATCCTGGGCACCTCTATTTCAGAAAGGAAGGGAAAGGGGATGAAAGCTGTAGGGAAAATGAAGCACAAAGGGAAAGGATATTAACTCTGCCAATTTGCAAACGTTTGCTTTGGACGGAAAGAAGCTGTATGAAAATCTTTTCCGTCTTTCAAGTTGATGTTTTAAAATGGATTTGTGCTTAGAATGCTATTGCCAATTGCTAAGGGATTTTTTCGGAAGAAAATAGAACCCTTCATTTAACACCATAACAAATATTGCTAAAGTTGTTCAGCAAAGGATTGAAGGCTGGGCGGAGAAAGGATTTTTACCTCACCTTTCATTGCGAAAATAATATAGAGATTATCTCTCATTGCGCTAATAGAAAATACTGAGAGGTAAAAAAAATCGAGCGCAACTTTTAATGAACTTCCCTTTGTCCCATCACAGATCACGCTCTTTCCAAAAAAACCGTCTTTGCGTAAGAGCGAAGAGTCTCGACAACGAATTATCTCAAGGTTAGGTTGTTCGGCAAATTTTTGTGACAAATTTAGTTATATATCGATTCCTAGACATTATATCTTATTTTATCCATAAAAAGAACTTTGTCTGGATGAATCTCTTCTATTTGTCTTGTAGGTTTAGCAAATGTTGCCTTATGAAATAGGTTCGCTTGCATCATCAGTTTTCAATCGAAATTATGACCATTGGAAGTAGGTTAGAGATACCCATACATTTTCTGATAAACGCCAAATATTGCATGTTGATCACATTGTCTTTCATTACAAGCAACGTATTTCAAATTTCTGCGAGGAAAGAAAAAACTCTGACATTGAGAAGGGTAAACCCATACATATTTAGGTGTTAAAATTACTGGAAATTTCCATCACGCATCTCTGCTTTGAAAAGTCGGCGAACATTTGTAGAGACGAAAGCGCTCAGATTTCCTTCCTCATATAACCAGCCCTTAGTCAAAAACAAGTGTCGACCCTCAAAATCAATTTTTTTAACCTATATTTCTCGCCAATCAAATCTGACTGTAGAACTGCTAAAAATCAAGATTCAATGGTGTTACTGCCCCAAAGAATTAGAATGTATTAGTTTTTGCTTAGCAAAGATTAACGAGTTTGTTCCTAAAAGATAGAAATAGCTGCGCATCACGTGACAGAGTAGTGACTAATTT